GGTGAGTGGGGTCCTTCATGATGCAGGTGACTCACTTCCTGCATCTGGAGGTGTAAATGTCTGTGATGGTGGGGAGGCTGACTCCAACAGACTTGTGTGCAGCCTCCATGCCACATGTTGATGCTGGAGCACAGGATGCTCTCCACTGCACACCTGTAGAAGGAGGTGAGGACTGAGCTTCCCAGACCAGCTCGCCTCAGCCACCTGAGGAAGTATAGAGTCTCTGATGAGCTTTCTAGATCAGGTTGGTGGTGGTGTTACCCCAGCTGAGGTTGTCATTCAGTGACAAACAGATTAGAAGTACCAATCAGATTAAAAGTATTCCAATAAGTATTCCAAGTAAGCCAATTAAATAATATGTAATATGTAGGGGTAATGGTGAGGTCTGAGCACCTTTCAACAGGTCTTTACGCTATGTTGACCAACCTTTATCAAAAGAATGTGAGTCTTAGTAACATTACGTAATTCCCCTCACTCAAAGAAAAGACAATCTGGTCATTTAAATACACAATTCTATAACGGTTTATTTTCAGCTTGTGAATGACAATATGGCAAATATATGAAATATGAATGAATAACCAATAGTTTTTCAAAAAGTGAAAGATGTAAATACTCTAAAGACTTTGAGAAGAGGTATTCAATTTAGACTAAAGTTTTAGCTCTTAACGTTAAATTTAGGTCAACTTTATCTCTGATTTGTGAACTTAAATTATGTTTAAGAAAACTCAGTTGGTGCTTGTTCTTCTCATCAGAAGGAAGATGTTTTATCCTACCGGGAGATGTCCATTTCTCATTACCACAACGGATGCGGGGGAAAGCCGGTGGCCTGCTGTCCCAAGAAGGGATGTCTTTTCTCAGAACTGCGATTCGTTCTGCAAGACGGCACCATCGCTCCGGTGTGTCTGAACAAGTTACGGACTTCTCTCCATTTCTCAGCTGACTGGGTCTGAGTCCAAGATGGAACTCTTTGCTGGCTCAGAGCCAGCTCTCCACACGGACGTCCCACATCTGCCAGCAACTAATTTCTACTGCTTTAAAGTTGGAAGTTAAAATCCTCAGAAAGGTCCAAAAAAATGCCAAACCTGAGCACACCCAGATTCATTTTTGAAACTTTGTTGCATTTTTGTAGAAACGCTCCTCTCTGGTGCTTAAAGCCTTTCTTAGCGTCGCCTCTTTACATTCGCAACATTAATTCTAGAAGATTGTGTTTTATATCTGCAAAAATGTCAATATCAAGACTAAAACATCCTGATGGCTGCTGTCAAATGAGTTGGTTTCCAGATGTCACAACGAAGAACACAACCAAGAGAAGCCAACATAATCTCAGCAAACCTTTTGTAAAAGTCCATCTGAACCGAAGGGGAAAAGTGCTGGTTTCATTTTGAGGTATGACTCCAGCAGCAAAAACCCCCAACAAGTATTTCACACAGGATCAAACGGCTAATGTGCATCACCTGAAAGCTTTTCCATTATTTCAAAAAGCTATACCCTATTATAAAAAAAAGCTTTTTTCCTGCCGTGACTTAAGAGTTAAACTTCTCAGCATGCTGATGACTTTTCTGCCCGAGCCATCGCTGCACTTTTCATCTGCTGCAGCTCTCTGCCTCCCATCTGCATTTACATTTAGAAGCCATTTTCACGAGTGCTTTCACTAAACAATAATGCCACACAGTATGTGCATGCTGAAGAATCCAGGAGAAGTTGAACTCTTAATGAAAAGGGTAACCTATCACTGTTGGAGGACAACTTTCCCTGAGAGAGCATCATTAAAGGATGCATTTAAAGTGATTACATACATCAGAACATTCAGGAATAGTTTTCTCCGTCAGTCTTCCTTCACAGAAAGTCTGCCGCTGTGTTTGAGACATCAGCAGGTGTTGAAATCGAGCACGTTCATTTAGAGGAGACATTAGCAAGACGCATTCAACAGCACAAAGTATGGATCATTACACAATTTAGAGAAGAAAAAGTGTTGTTTGTTGGCATTAAGTTGCTTTGATCGTGGGGTTTTACCAACATGCTCGTAAAAGATTTCAGGCCGAGCATGCCATGAAGTGTTGCATATCGCTCGCCGCCTTTAAGATCAGATGATAAGCTGCAGCAGCTCCGGTTAAATATTGAAATGTGCTAAATGTGTTGGTGGCTGCTTGAGTGGTGCAGAAGGTGGAATCACACAATTAATTGTGAGGTGGAGTGATTTTTTTTTTTAGGAAAAGTAGTTACTTTTGTCACAGAACGTTGGTAAATTTTGGTAAGACAAACCAGACGATGGTGGCTGGGTTGAATTTCAGATTAGATGTAGAACAAGAAGAGTTCTTTGGACGTTAAAACATGACCAAAATACAAAAGTACGTTACTGACTTTTTCTTTTTAACAGTGTCGGCAGATGAGATGTTGGTTTTAGTTTATCCAGAACTGATGACTAACATGTAATTCGTGATGTTGATGTGAGTGACTAATATATTTATAAACTTCTTAGATTCTGGCTGAACAGTTCTGCTCTGGTGGTTGAGTGTGGTAGACAGTTTCTAACAGATCTCAGGTTTGTGGGTTCAAATGTGGGTTTAAATTTGACCATTGAAACGCTTTGTTAAAACGGCACAACTGAAAAGATAAATGCATTATGAGAAACATTGTGAGTGTGAAAGGTGCTGGTGGTGCAGCGCGGCAGACAGCTGATTGCAAATATGAAGGTTTTAGGATCAAATTTTACCAGTGAACCACTTTGTCAAACCAGTAAAACTAAAAAGATAAATGTGCCAGGAGAAATGCTCAACATGTGAAAGGTGCTCATGGTTCAGTGGGGAAAACAGATGTATTTAGATCTGAGGTTTGCTGGTTCAAATCTTACCACTCATACACTTTTAAAGTCAAATCAGCATAAATATAAAGATAAATGCGCCTGGAGAAATCCTCTCAGTGTGAAAGGTGCTGGTGGTGCGGTGGCTCTGTGCACGCTTGTAAGGTGCAAGCAGTGCAACACTGGGTTCAAGACCTGCCTCCTGCCAGTACCTGGATCATGCTAAACAGTCCCACAGTAGTGGGTCAGGGAGGGGGCCGTGCCTCCTCCCTGAAAAATTCTCATCTGAAAATGGAGGGTAAGATTTGAACCAACAAACCTCAGATCTAAAGACAGCTGTTTACCCCACTGAACCATGAGCACCTTTCACACTCAGAACATTTCTCCGGGCGCATTTATCTTTTTAATTTTGCTGATTTGACTAAAAATGTTTGAGTGGTAAGATTTGAACCAACAAACCTCAGATCTAAAGACAGCTGTCTACCCCACTGAACCATGAGCACCTTCCACACTTTGAGCATTTCTCCGGGCGCATTTATCTTTTTAATTTTACGGATTTGACTTTAAAAATGTTTGAGAAATAACATTTGAACCAGCAACCCTCAGATCTTAAGGCAGTTGTCTACCAGACTGAACCACCAGAGCAAAACGGTCAATGCAGAATCTAGGAAGTTTATAAATATCCTCGTCACTGACACCAATATTAGCTGGATTTCATTAGTTAGAGTCATACGTTCTGGAGACACAAACCTACATGTCATCTGCTGATGCTGTAAAAAAGAAAAATATGTAGTAATTTACTCATTTTGTATTTTGGTCATGTTTTGGTCAGGTTTTAAGTTCAAAGAACTCGGCTTGTTCTACATATCTTAATTTAAACCCAGCCACCTTCTTCTGGTCCGTGTTACCTGAATTTACTAACGTTCCGTGACAATATTTACTTTCTTAAAAAAAAAAAACTCAACCCCAATCTGGTTTACTTTGACAACTGGAAGGTTGATTTTACATTATGTTATGCGTTTGTGTGCTTTACCCGTTTGTTTCTGTTTGTACAGCACTTTGGTTGGCCTTGTCGCTGTTTAAAGTGCTCTATAAATAAAATGGTAAAGTAATATATATTTTACTGGCCTGTTCAAGACTGTCATTTAGTCCATATTTATTCAATATTTTGGTGAATTTAAGGTTTTAATACTGAGTTTCATTACAAATTCCTAAAGATGGTTTCTTTTTCAGGGGTGCTGAGTAAAAATTTTGGAGTGCTTGAGCACCCCAAAGACGCTAAAATCACAACTGCATACAGATGTGCGTGCATGAACATATAACCCTCGCGAGCGTGAGTCATCCCTACGAACTTTAATCTGCCATTTAAATACACTGAAATTGACACAAAACATTTTTTAAAGGCAAAGAAATAAGGTCCTGATCTTAATAAACAACTTCAAATACATCCTGCAACTTACTTAAAACCTCTGCTTTAACTGCACAATTTTAAAGTTTATGCTTTTTAAAACTGCATTTACTTTGTAAAGTGCAAAAAGCAGTGACAATCCCTCACATACAAGACGAAAGCTACTGAACTGAATATAAAAATATACATATCTGATGTACTTCCCTCCAAATCCATCAGCAGTTTGGAGCAAACGGCATCACTGGAACCTCTGCCTCCGCTCAGACTACAAACATCTGCAACAATAAGCGTCGAAAACAATTTCAAACAAACAATCAAACGTCAATTTGCTCCACTATCATAGCATAATAAGGTATGTCACTCCTATTCAAAGCTGAATTTGTGAATCCCAGCTGGTGATAAAAGTAAACAAAGCCTCTAGCGGACCGAGCTGTTCTCGGCTCAGACGGAGGTCGGCCCAGCTGGAATGAAACCGTAAGTGAACCGAAGCAACAGCTTCATCTTCCACTTCCAAAGACGGGTTTGTGGCTTTTCCTCGACAATCCAGCATTTATTTTCGACGGCGAGAGAAACAAATGAAAGTGGCAAAGTAGTGAGGTTAAAGTTGAACAGAATTGTTTATTTTTTATATAAACTCTTAAATATAATCAGACTGAGCTCTGCCACACATCCACACAACCATGACAAGGTACGTGCATCAAGTTATAGATCAACGAATAGAAAAAAAAAAAAAATGTTGAAAATCTCTAAACTGTTAGAAATCAGCACAAAAATGGCTTTAAAGTGATGAGAAGCATTTTTCCCCGCTTAAATGAAAAGTCCAGATAAAAACGTTAACTTTGAAAGGTCTTTTCATGTTTTTTCCTTTTTTGCCTCCCCACCTACTCGTATCATCTGTTGCAGACATTTCAGACAACCTTGGGCTCTGCTTTTCAATCACAGGGGGCCTGACCAAAACAGATCAATGAGAGAAGGCCACTGGAGATTCTGCTGCTACTGTTGTGGGCTGCACGCTCTAATTGGATGGAGCATGAGTGTTTTACTGAACAGCAGTCTTGTTTTCCACATGCACAGTCAATCCACAGAGCTCCTCTCATCCGGCCGCAACTCCATCCTCCAAACTTCGGGGTGGCAATACATTTCCTATCACAGACTTTCATTAGGTTTTAAATAGAATATTTATATTGCCTATTAGAAGTTGTTTAACAAAGAAATGCTTTGCTCAAAAGGCTGTTAGATCAATGACTTAAATGTAAATGACTACTTTTAAAAAACAGCAGAAAACTTCCAAGTTATCAAACCGGATAGAAAAGTAGACAATTGTGAGATCTGAAATTTTTAATTGATCGTTGAAGCTGCAACAAACAACCCTCTTTAGTTGGGAAAAATGCGTTTTTTCTGGACAAATCCGGTTTAAAGCGCACAAGCCAACGTTTTGAACTCAGTCTCACGGGGCTCAGTTTCATCACAGCTACAACTTCCATATAAAGACCTGTATTTTTCTGATAAACCAGTCTGACCACTCAGGAGGAAACTTTAGCTGACGTAGTTGCGTCCTGATGAACGTCTGGGATTAATTATCTTTTTAAAAAATAGATTGATCCATTTTTAGATCAATAGGTTGACTAATCTAGTATTTATTTGTGTAATAAACAGTGTTTTGTGTGTTTCGGTGTTCTTAACGAGTACACCCTCACAAACGGATAATTACAATTATCTGATAAAAATCACATCAAAATTAGTTTTGCATAAAGAAATGGTTTATATACAGGTGCATACTTTGTTTAATCTTATTCTATCTTGCTGATGTTTGTCAGTGCAATCAGATTAAATATAGTGCAGTTATTAAAACGCCCCCTCACACAAACATGTTAAATCCAGCCCGAACAGATTGTAATCAGAATTTAAACTTTGTAAAGTGCATTTTGTCTCAAACAACTTTCAAACCTCTGAACGGCCCAGTTTCAAGTGAGACGTTCGAGATGATAAAGTTAAACATCTTCAGCTTTTCTCATCCACTAAACGGGAACCGTTGATGCCGCAGTAGGTGACGCGGCTGGGTCGAACCAGAACGCCGTATCCGGACCGGCAGGTGAAGTAGCGGCGGTCGCCCACCGAGCCGTCGTTCTTGCCTTTGGGGCTCCGGAGCTCCAGACCGAGCCAGAGGCCCGGGGCAAAGTCCGCTGTGCCCACGTAACGGATGGAAGCCATCTCGTTGGCGCTGCTCAGGAAGACCTGCATGCCCATGTGGAGACGCACCTGTCCGTCGGAACCAGAACCTGCTGTGTGTCCAGAAAATCCACCGCTGCTGCCGCTCCGGGTGCTCCAGCGGCGGCGGTGAGGATGGGAGCGACTCCTGTTTTTTATGTTTTGTTTGTTTGTGGAGGAGACGAGAAAAGAAAGATTTATGAGAAATTTTATACTGCGGGAAAGAATACATCAAAAATCAGGAGAATAATATGAGCTCAGGGTTTTAGGGATTGATTTTCATTACCCTGTTCCTCCTCATTATAAGCACAATCATGCAGCGGCCATTACAAAAAATAAACATTTTGCTGACTAATACCTCTGCTTCTTATCAGTATTGATTCTGTCACTGCTGCAGGGGATTAGGATGAAACTGAAAAAACTTGAGGGACAAGAAAAAAAGATGTGAGAAGAAGTCACACCTGGAAACGGGGCTTCTTCTGCTCGTTTCCTTTGGGGCAGCGATGGCGGACGATGTGCTGAAACTGCGGCGAATCGTTCCTGCAAACCAATCGCAAAAGTCAGGGGCTTCCACAAAGACACGATATTCAAAATATTAAATATTAAATGAACTGCAGGCTAATTCTCACCGCTGAACTGATGACTGAAGCGTGAAGTGGTGAGCTCTGAAAGGCAGTCAACTGAACCATGGATCCTGCGAGCACAGAAAAATATCTGAATGAGCTTTTAAAGAATGAGACGAGGCGTTGTGGAAGAATAAGCACATTTTAGTCCGCAGTATAAACAAAAAGGTGTACATGTTTTAACTATTGTTCATAAGGACAGCCTAGAAACCTGAAGGGAAAAAAAGTTTGGTTTAACAAACTATGAGGAGAATTCAGAAAAATACAAAGGTCTGAGTAAGCCTGTCACGATAAATTTTGCTGGGCGATTAATTGTCTCAGAAATTATGGCGATAAACGATTATATTGTTTGAAATTTGACAATTAGAAATTATTGTCAAATTTAAGAGGAAATGTTGATTTGTTTTGCATGTAGTACCTTTTCTGACCACTGGATGGCAGTATAAGACTGAACAGAAGAATAGATAGTGAGGGAGGAGCAATGTGTCTCTAAGAAAAATGGGAGAGAGGCCCCTTGACGTGACGTGGGTTGTCTCTGTTCTCAAAATGAACGCTCGGTGTGGTTTGAGCTCTTAAGCATAGTTTTTAATAAAAAAAATAATAATAATCAGTAAACAAGTTCTCAACTTCTTTTTGCAGAGAAAAACAACTTTTTACACAAAGGCACAGGTTTCAACCATGAATTTTGGAGCTTGACAAGTCGGAGGTGTTTTCCTTGAGGTTAGCCTGGTAGCTTAGCTCGTAGCTTAGCTTCTCAGCTTAACCGCTTTTAACATCCAAAAACTCGATTTTAGACGTTGAAAAAGGGTTTTAAAGAGAAAGGGAGAGGTCAGTGTCTTCAGTGGAAAGAGACGCGAAGAAACGATAAAGCCAATAAATAAAAATGAGGTTGATAATTTTCATTTATCATGAGACTGATTTAATTTTATCGCGACAGGCCTAGGTCTGAGGGGGAATATTAAAAATACAGTTGGGAGAAAATAATATAAAGCTGGGTAAAGAAATAAAGCAAAGATGTGGGTGGGAAGGGGGTGTCAGTGATGACTGCTGACAAGCTTCTGGATGAGAACTCTTCATTAGACAGCTAAAAAAAAATAAAAAAAGCTGCACCCAGAGCTTGATTAAAAAATTAAAAAATAAAAAAGTAAAAAAGACGACGCTTTCCGAAATGAAGCTTTTGTCTATAAGAAGTCACAAACAGCAGTAAAAAAAATAAAATAAAATAAAGGAGCATTATGGGATTAGAAAAAAGGAAGACCAATTACATGAAGAAATTAAAGTGCAACAGTCCATCAGTTCTGATAAACTCTTCCACAAACATTATTTTATACGTCAGCTACTTTTTAATAGCTTTTATTTAGTTATGACCAGTTTGCGCTGCAGGCGTTGTGCTGGTAATGTGCCGTTCAGTAACTAAGTGGCTCGAGCATAAAAAATGGTCAGAAAACAGGCTACACATCCCCGGGATGAAACTTTCACAAACTACTTGATAAGTGTGTGATGGTAACTCTTGTTTGTTTGAGAAAGTCCAAGTAACGTCAGGAAATAATGAGGAAAACAAGTACGACTTAGTTCATGTAAAAATACACAGACTTTCTTTTAAAGTGGTCTTGAGCAATAGTTCAGGATTTCTGAAAGCATTTTAAAATTTGCTGTTTTTTTTTTAAACTTTAGTTGCATTTTCCTTATATTTTGTATTTTTAGTTAAACCAATTAAAACTGACCTTTAAAGACTTCTGAACACACACGGTAAACCTGCATTGTGCCAAGACAATAGAAAGCTCGGGTAGATAAACACAAAAAAAAAAGGTTAAGTCATGTCACCTGGACAAGTTTATTTTATTTGAAGCTATAACAAACTATTACCAGTGCCATGTTTTAAACACAATAGGATTTTAGCATCAGCAAAGTGTTTATCAAAGATCTGTTAGCAGAACATTTAGCTGAACCCAAAAGTGTTTTATTGTAGAAATACCTATATTGTGTAACATTTAATTACAATAGTCTAAAATAAACATGTTTTATCCGCTCCCTGCTCTAAAACCCTTCAGCAGATATGATGAAAATGCATTTATGACAACACAGTTTACACGTACGGATGCAGACAGTCTTATGGTTGCATTCCTAACATAACCATGATCAATATGCCTCATCGTGCAGAGTAACAGTAAAATATGAAGAAATGATAAAACTACCACGCAACATTTCAGTTTACAGACACGCTTTACTAACCAGCTCTGTAAATAAATCCTCCTTCACATATTTCAGTTATCCATTATTCTTGTTTAAAAGTAGAAGTCGTGGCATCAGGCTCATTACAAGGTGTCACATTAAATTGAGAAGTCATACTGTGTGAGCGCTCCAGGCTTCGTGTTTGAGAACTCTGACTCGGGTTAATCACCAGAACAGAGGAGCATCGTTTACCTCACAGAGCGCAAAATCAAACATGCCAGCAGTCGCACAAAACGACAGAGAAACTCATTAGTTGCCATCAGACGTATTGATGAGAGCGATGAAAATGGGCCTCGAGGATTTACCGTTAGGTCTGCTCAGGATGTAAAGTTAGCTTTAATGTTCCTGCAGATAAACCCTGACAAAACCAGCTGAGATCGTTAGCCGAGAGTTCTCCAAAATCTTACCTTTGAACTCGAGACGGCGGCGCAAAAACGCCGTGTTTTGGAGGACAGCTGAAGTACCTCACTCCTCCCACTGAGCCATCGTTTTTACCACTCGGCTTGTCCAGCTCGATGCCCAACCAGATTCCTGCGAAAACAAATTCAGATATTAAGACTTCTAGATAGGGATGCACGATATTATCGGCATGGTATCGGTATCGGACGATATTAGCGATGAAAGTTAAATATCATACATTCCATCAAAATAACTGATATAAAAGGCTTCTGTTTTAAGTTAATTTTTAATTGAAGAAACTGTCAAGTATATCTACTACTACTACTTATGCGCTTTTCACTTATCGCTTGTGAACAGGTTGAGTTTAGATTTGTGAAAATTTACAAATTTGCACTGTTCGAGTTTTGTCATTGTGTTCGAGAGAGTAAATGTCATGAATAAATTTGACATTAAACATAATCCAAGTTGAAGTGTTTCATCATTTTCAACCCCCTTTTTGGCATCTGCGTTTGGTTGCAGGCCAAACTGACAAAGACCATGCAGAATAACGTAGTATTTTAATTCCACACCAGAAAATGCTTTGTAGTCTCTGTAAGTAGGTCTAGGGGGAAAAATATCGGTATTGGCCAAATAAGTTTTAACATATTGGCCAAAAATCCAATATCGTGCATCCCTACTTCGAGATGTTCTCCGGTTCCTTTCATCCATCACTCTTGTATAAAAGAAAGCACAGAAGTGTTGTATTAAGATACAGCGAGAAAATCGAGAAGTTTAACAAGTGGGGCTGGATTTGCTGTTGGTAGGTAAAAGTTGCAGTCCTCAGCTCAATGCTGCTGAAACGAAGCAGCTGATTCAAAAGTATCAAAGGAAACGTGAGAATGAAATCCCCTCGAACGTGATCCTGAGTGGTGTGAGATACCAGAGTAATTATTTATACACGACTGATGCCTGAAGAGAACTGCTGCCTAAATATTAATGAATCCAGTGAGCTCCTCTCTTTGGGCTTCGGTGGGTTTTTTTGCTCAACAGCAGCAGATTTTTCCAAATCTGATTTTTTTTTTTTTTTTTTTTTAAGAGTATCTTCAGTTTAGCTAAGGATGCAGTAAATTGAATTTATAGAGGGGAAGATTAACAGAGTGTTACCATGGTGCTGCACTTAATTCACTGTAGAATTTTTAACTTTATTCAAAATAAGAGATAATTTAATCTTGGACAAAAAAAACAAGGTTTCCAAGACCCCTTGGCTACAGTTTTTGTGTGTAAGGTACTGGATGATGCTCATTTCAATGATTTCACTAATAAAATCTAAATATTAGCTTACATTTGTATCTAAATCTTAGATAAAACATGGTCAAACTTATCAACGGGTGTTAATATTATGCAATATCATGATTTATTTAAACAGAAGCCCCAAATAATTTGCTTTTCTGCCCAGATAAATTGTTGAATTTTGTTATGAATTCATTAACAGTGAGAATTATTCATATTCACAATTTATCATTTCCTCAAGAGTCCCTCCACACAGAAGAAAACTGAACACAATTTGCTTTTTCACAACTAACCAGGAGCAAAGCTGGTTTTCCCACAGAACTGAACAATGCCTGTTCTCTGGCCCGCCACCAGCACCCTCTCCCCCTGTCGGACCTCAATACCGTCACACAACAAGCTGCTGCCTGAAGGGGTTCGACTTCTGAAACCTGCAGGACAGGCGATAGTTTGGTACAGCTGGATCTGCGAACTGAAACACTTTCATTGTGTCATACTGCAGTTGTACCTGCAGCGGGAGGAGCTGTGGTACGAGACGACCGACGCGCCGGTGATTGGGCCATCCTGGGGTTTGGGGAAATGTTCTCTCTTTGCTGCCTGGCAGGAAGGCGCTGCCTCGGCAGGGGACGAGGTCGGGCGCTTGGTCTGGGCCGAGAGTCCAACGAGGATGAAGAGGAAGAAAGAGACCGGGAGAGAATACCTGAGAAGAGATTGGTGCAAATAAATCTGAGAACGGGACACAAAGATCAAGTAATCCAATCGAGAGGTTATCCACTCAGAACAGTGGAACATCAACTATTAGTGCGTTAAACGGTAAAAGCTTTTACATTCTGCGGATTAAAAAAAAAAGAGAAAATCTAAGCATCAAATCAGTTTCCTCTTAATAATGAATCCATCATCTTTCCACCGAGGTTTAAATCAGAAACTCATCTTGTTAATTACCTGTGACAGCCCCTTGCAGCCGACAGTAAAGGCTGAACTTGTAGCAGGTACTGAGCTCCAACTAAAAGCCAAAGTGTTAATCCACTCTGCCAACAGGAGGGGATAAAATGGAGCAGGATGCTCAATTTCCCTCTTAAGAAGCCATTTGGACGCAGGACCTCATTAAGCTTTTACCTTCCACAGACCTTCACACGATCATTAAGTACCCAACACTTGGAGGCTAATTGATTACGTCTGTGCCAAAACGCTTTAAGAGGAAGAGAAGATCTGGTTACAAATAAACTTAAACACAGACTAATCCATTTTCCAACATGTACTGAGAAGTAGTTGAATGATTAGTAAAAGTGGACCATTTCCGATGTCTTAATCTGTGTTCGTTTGAATATAAACTCGGTAAACTTCAGTTAAATCTGAAGTGTTTTCTGCTGCAAAAGCACATTCGTAGTTCTACGTAACATTTATCTAACTGAATTTCTCAGATGGATTTATGATGCTGGATTCATTTATTAAATTAGTTGAAACACATGAGAAATTGGGGTTTGAATGTCTTACAAGCCTTTAGCAAAAAATAAAATAAAAATTACACAAATCGTGCAAGAACTTTTCTAAACCACACTACATTTAACTGCAATAAAACAAGCTCAACACTAATCGCAGTACCTGTCTTACTGTCTGAGCCGTCTCTCTCTGCACATTTACTGTGACCAGGTGGACTTTCAGGACGGTCAGGTACTTTTTTAATGGCAGCTAAACCTTTCCACATACAGAGATAAAAAGGAGCCGATTAGAAAACTGATCGAATTAAACAGGACTACAGACAGAGAAGAACATGAAGTGACCTTCACTCTCTTCCACTGTTGTAGAAGAATTTGTTTTCCAATATCGTGCATCCCTAGTGCACGCTCAACCCTCACATGCTCAGCATCTCCTGTGTTACGGTTCGCTCAACTATGTGCCACAAATATACCTTCATAAAGCCGCAGGATCTTAACTGGGCTCAGGCTTGAACTTTGGACCATTGCAACACCTTGAGTCTCTTCTTTTTAAGACATTTTGTTGTAGAGTTGCTGACATGACTGACTGCAAGCTGCTCAGATCCTCTGGCTTCAGAACAAGCCCAAATCATCTGCCCTCCACCATCGTGTGGACGGTTGTGCTGAAATGCAGTATTTGGATTTCACCAAATATTGAACTGTTGTGTTATGGTGAACAACTTTGGTCTCATCCGTCTTGAGGACATTGTTCCAGATGTTTTGTGTTTGGTCAGTTGCAATTTCCCAATCAGCATTTGTGCCTTCATATTCTTTAAAAATACTTTTTTTCCATAGCAACCCTTTCAAGCAAGCCATACATGTTCAGTGTTTTTCTAAAGGTCCTGTCCTGAACATTAACCTGTAACCAGCCGACTGCTTTGACAGAGTCACACTGACTAATGATCGGCTAATCAAATACATCTGATCAGCAGTTGTTTATCCTCTTGGGAAGCAACGAGGACGAACAAAAGCTTTCACACACAATTTTCACATTTCGGCTTCGTTTTTTGTTTGAGAAACAACATGATGGGATCCGTTGTAGCTTTTTGTAAACTTGTGGTAAGATTTAATAATTGTGGATCATTAGGAACATTCACCCATCTTCAATCTGCCTGAGACACGCTGTAATCCAATTCAAGGTAGTGCACCAACTGCACTGGTCTAAAGACAAGACAAGCGGTCCAAGATTAAAGCCGACCTGGACCCTGCATGCAATTGTTGCAAACAAACTCCAGCTACACTCCTGCATACATTCTGGACCTGTCCCAAACTGCACACATTTTGGCAATCTATTTTTGACACCTTCTCTGAGATATGTGGAAAAACCGTACTTCCATCACCACTCATCTCACTGTTCGGGGTGGTTCCTGTGGATACGTCCTTCAGCGAGCACGAGAAGGATGTGATCGCCTTTGGCTCTCTGGCCAGGAGGCTAATTTTGTGCAATTGGAAGGACCCACATACCCCAGCATATGTACATTGGTTAAGGGAGGTCATATATAAAATCCACGTGGAAAAAATAAGCTGTACCCTGAAGGGCTCTGTAAAAAGGTTTTGGGACACGTGGCAGCCTTTTATGTTTATGTTAAAAATATGTCTGTACATGTTTAATTTGTTTAAGTAATGTATGTTTGACTAATTTGGTGTGTGTGTGTGGGGGGGGGGGGGCATCGAGAAAACGGAAAAAAAAAAAAAAAAAAAAACACTGTTTAAAAAAATAAATAAATGAAAAAATCAAGACTAGAAGAAAACTGGTTTTCTGCAACTATCCCAAAGAAAACTAAAAACTTTTAAAAATATAATTCTTGTTGTCTAGAACTAAAGCTACGATTCATCTGACAAACACGTTTTAAATTGGCTATGATGAACAAACATTCATGTAACGTAAAAAATGAACATGCTCTCCTTCGAGACAGATTTGGTTCTTTTGCTCTGAACTCCATTACACACCAGCTCAGAACAGCAAACATTTCTCGTCACTTGACCTTTATCCTGCAGAGCCCCTGGTTCCATCTATCCGTCCACCCTGGATGTTCACTTCAGGAAGACTGAGCCTTTTCGAATCAAGTGTTTGAGATGTTGTCTGCGCTCTCTCCGTCCTTTGAGGCCTGAGCTACTACTGACACACTAATGGGGACCAGTCTGGCATTCTGCTGCGTCTGTCCCTCCTGGTTAGTCAGAAGAAACGGTTTCACAATGACCCTCCAATTTATTGATGAACATGAGCAAGTTGTCTCTACCGCTGATCCGATGGGACAGTAAAATGCAGGTTGCTCTGAAAGTTCTGGCTGACAAAAGCCTTGAAAAGTGTGTGGTCATAAATTAGTCTAGTTCAAGTTGTTCAGAGGTGCCCTCAGATGCATTACATGCTGTACATAAACACTCACACACACACACACACACACACTGTGATTAATGGCTGCCAGGCCACTCAGCCTGTCTATGCCCCAGTTATTAAACTCGCCTTAATTGGACTATCAATCACTGGTTTCCACTGGCCTCTCTGAGGTCCGGTATTCCAGTCACACTTTGATCAATCAACCCTCAGAACACTAACAATTACAACAGCGCAATACAGCTGTAAACCCAAAAGGTGGTGAGAATAACAAAAACACAAGACAAGCTTTCGGATGTAAATTAAACAACGGATGCCATTTGTCAGACGCTGAGAGATTCAAAGAGTGAGAGAGTGAGGTCCCATCAGTCTGATGGATGCGTCAGCCGTTGGCAGCAGTTCAGAATACACTTTCCACAAAGATTAATATTAAAACTAAGATGCAAAGAATCCTGTCATGCACCAACATGGTTCAACAACAAAGACAAAACGGATGTGTTCATTTTTTTAAGATTTAAAAATCAGACACCCCCCTTCACCCCCCCATTTTCATGTGAAAACTTTATGGAGAAAACTATAGTAAATGAAGGCTCCCGGGAAGGTGAAATTCACCATGTCAGGAAAAAAAAACAGTCATCAAGTCGAGCATCCAACCACATGACAATCCTCTAAAGCAGGGGTGTCTAACTCGCTTACAAAAGGGGGCCAAAATTAAAACCTTTTTCAAACTAAAGGGCCAATTTCAGAAACTACATTACCTCAAATCAGATACCAAACAATTTCTAGGTCACAAGTTCCTCAACAAGAGTTCGATTGATCTCATTTGATGTTCTCTGTTGTGCTTTCAACATCATAATCAAAGATTACTGAAAAAAATCAACAGATAGAAGTATTTTACGTTTCACATTTCATCTTGGGGGTCAGATAAGATGTCAACGAGGACATCGAAGACTCATTTACAAGAGAGATATGTTACATAAAACTTACAGATTATTATTAACGTGATTACAGCACTAAAAAGCCACCGACTTGGTTTAGCCCACTACACAAAATGGTCTATGGAAAAGGATAAAAATAGGTTTTCATATTTTCAGATGAATTTATGCTTAAAGATCGAGCGAAGAAGCAAAAACTCTAAAGCCTGTTTAGTTTCTTTGGCTGTAAATGAAACTAAAATGACAAAAATCATTAACACTGGTTATCAGCTCTTTTTAAAAAAAAATTTGTCTATAACAAAGTTTTTAAAGTTATTGAAGAAAGCAAGCCAAAACCATCACTACTGTCCCAATTTTACAAGAAGAATACAAATATTCACAAGTGTCTGTCTCAAATGAGACGAAGTTTACAACCTTAATGGCCTCAGGGAGCCGATTTTATTGTTAGGAAGTTATTTATGAGAATACAGCGGCTATTCTGAAATATTTAGCCTCCATGGTTCTTTTTCTTCAACTGTGGTCTAACATTGTATTCGTGATCTTCTCTAGGGATCTGAATCAGATGCTTGTGACATAAAAAAGCACTTGCCCCTCGTTTTTTTATCTGCACTGAAAAATATAAAGTTCTTTATTCCTCTGGCCCAGTGGCTTTTCAACATCCCCATCGTCTGTGGTTGAGGTTATGGCATGTTTTTATGATAGTACATCCAGGCAGAGCTCCTCGGGGGAAGATGTTTTTTTTTTCTCAATGCTTGTGGGCCTCGTTTTGTCATAATGTTTAGTTATCCTGGCAGAACCGGAGCACAAGTTCATCGTGACCACGCTCTTCACCAAGCCTCACGATCCTTGAAAGTTACATTTACACTTTTTCAAACTTGTCTAAAATAATAAGCCAAACATTTTCCAATAAAACGAACATCATTTCCTTACCCGTGTTGACCTTGGAAGTAACTCGGGACAGATCAGCACGCCGAGGAGGACGCAGAGGCGTCGATGTTCTTGTGAAGCTTGATTTACGTTTTTCCAAAGGCTTACTTATTTTGGACAAAGGAGCAAATATTCCTAGGAAAAGTTGAAAGATTTTTAAAAATAATAATAGTTACCGAGTCAGTACGTTGGATCTTTAAGCACTGGAGCACGACGTCTTACCGTGTTTAGTTCGGCAGGTGAAATACTGAACCCCTGCGACAGAGCCGTCGTTCTTTCCCTCCGGTTTGTCCAGTTCCACTCCGGCCCAGAGGCCTGCGGAAAACTCGGTGCTGCCGCAGAATCGCAGCGTTCCGACCTGCAAGCGCACGTTCAAGCGTCAGGGAAAGACTACAACACAACGTGGTGAGAAAAACTCCTTTGACACAGATTGAAGAACAATCAGAAATTAATGGTTTTACTGCATTTCTTCACCCACGAAAACAAAAAGAAAAAATATTATTTGAAGCACGAGATGGAAAAAGTGGTGTTAAGATGATGACCAGGCACAGAAATATTAGAGAATTTCTTTAAGAGCAAATGTCTAGATGGGCAAAAACTTGAGGATTTTAAATGCAATTGTTCCACGAGGGCAGAAGCAGCTAATGATGGCGGTCGGTGATTTTCTTCTAGTCTTCTTTTACAAAAAAAGGTTTTGTGTGTTTTTTAATCCATAAACATGTTAATGACATACTGACGCTGCAAATACAAAAAAAAAAAAACACACAAAAAAACACTGTGATAAGAAAATAAAAAACATTAATTTTCTTAGGTCGTTTCAATAAAATAATTCCATCGAATAAAATAATGAAATAAATAATAATTAATAAATAGATAATTAATAAATACAGGTAATAGATAAATAAAATAAGTCCGTAATATAAGTCCGTAATATAAGTCCGTAATATAAGTCCGTAATATAAGTCCGTAATATAAGTCCGTAATATAAGTCCGTAATATAACTCCGTAATATAACTCCGTAATATAACTCCGTAACATAAGTCCGTAATACAAGTACGTAATATAAGTCCGTAATACAAGTACGTCTCCAGAAACTTTCCACTGGGAGTTAAGTTGGGAAATATTCAAATTATTCCAAAATGGATGCTTTCCGTGGGAATTAAATGGAAATAGGAAGTGATTTAATCAAACTGTCGAATCCCAAATATAAAAAAAAAAAACCTAACATTTGTTTTGTCACAGGCAAATACGGAGTTTATGAAACTAAATGTATGACCTAATTTGCATATGTTGCTGTTCACATCACTGTTACGATCACAACTTTTACAGAACAATTCATTTTCAACATTTCTACAGTTCTCCATTTTTTGTTATGGTCACTTCACATTTTAGATTCATGTACACAATTCAGAACAAAAATATTCAAGTGGTGATTTTTAAATGTTTGAGATTGAAATCACAAAAATTGCAATAAACTGCATTTCATAAACTGTAACTGAACAAACCTTCGTTACTATTTCTATCTCTTACTACATGTCCATGTGATAGTTTATCATTAAATTATAATCATTAAATATATTTCCCTCCCAACTATATTTAAAACTCCTGTTAAGGGCCAACCTTTAAGGTTTTAACTCCAGATTTATTTCATTAAAAAAATAATTTGCTTCAATTCCCATGGAAAGTTTCCAACTTATCAGTTTTGCAACCCTTAGCGTAACGCATGCTGATCGTAACAAAGCTGTAAACTCTGCTGAAGAACTTAAGATGTATATTTTGTGAAAGCGATCATATTTTGATTTTATCCGTTTATCAATCACAGCACACACGGTTCACACCTGACAACTTCCATTAGAGCTTTCCTGATCAGTAAGAGGCGTTACAATCCCAGATCATTTGAAAATGGTCTGAGCCCAGTTGGTTTAACTGTCTCTTAACACAACTCATCCTAGAAAACATTGAAGGCCAGCCCACTCAGGTGACAGGCCTTCTGCCAGAGGAAATCAAAAAACGCATTTGGACACTACCTCAGGTGCTCAGTCTCATTACCCATGAAGTTGTTGGTCGTCTACGAACACAAATAAAGCACTTACGGGCAGGAGATAAGACTTTTTATCGTGTTTGGTCAGACGGCTTCTAACAGTGGATCAGTTTCATTTGGAGAGGATTAAATCTTGGTTCTGGCTTGTGTTCAATGCTTGTTTCAATGTATAGAAGGGCTGCGCTCTTATCTACATGTGAGCATGTGAATGCCAGCAGTCTTATACATCTGTTGCGTCACAGGGCAACACATAATTTAAACCACAACTAATCTGGCTGGCATGACTGATCAGAAATATTTTGTTTCAATTTAAAGAGATTTGACAAAAAAAAAAAAAAAAAAAAAAAAAAACAGACAACTCGAACTCTGATGTTAAATGTATCAAAATTAAAGGTCCAAATATATCTGGGAGCAAAGTGTGTAAATGGCTTGTTAGTAGGATATCCTTAAAACACACACTGCAATTACACTGAGACTTCGCAAAAGCATTTACCATATTTTTTGCCGTACACGTCACATCGCCCTATAAGTCGCATCAGTCTGAATATGTCTAAAAAGTGGAAAATCCATAAATATGTCGCTTCACCGTATACGTTGCATCTATTATGCGTCACATTTGTTACGCTCCACCGCTGACAACCCGGAAATGTGGGCCTGTGTGCCAAAAATCGATTGTCTGCCAAAAGGCGGCCGCGGGAGGATTTAAACAAGATTAACACATAAAAACAATTATTTGTTTGCTCGAAATTATATTAAATTTGTATCTCAGTTCAACTTTTCCTTAATAAAATGCACTTTGACGGTCAAATCCGCTGCATTTACAAAATTATTCGCTGCCTCGGTGCTCCGGGACTGACGGAGGAACGCTGCGCATTTCTTCAAAATTTAACAAGATAACCTAAAACAATTATTTTTTGCTCAACATTATAGTAAAAGGTGTGTCTCAGTTGAACTTTCACTTAATAAATGCACTTCAATGATCAAATTAGCTGCATTTCGCCAGGGCAGTGCAACAAAATGAAGCCGATTTGACGGTTGCTCCAGGCGATCTGGACGAAGGTGACAGGCTATGGCAAGCTAATTGTGTCATTAATAGCCTTCTTTTTTTTTTTAACCTATTACATGACACAATGGCATGCCATACTACTCAAGTGCCATCTAGTGGTTGAAAATGGTAGTGTTCATTATTTTCAGTCAGAATGAATGAAAACATCGTATCTCAGTCAAAAATTGGTTTAAATATGAGAAGAAAAAAAACATACGTCACTTTGGTGTTTAAGTCGCAGAGCATGCCAGTTATCCAATTTTTTTTTTTTTCAAAAGCGACTTATAGGGCGAAAAATTCGGTACTTATGAACAACAGTTATGTTGACAAAGCACAACATGAGATCCAGGACAGTGTAAGAGATGATTCAGGCAAAGATGATGAGCACGCTTGTGTTTTTAACATCTGAGCTCTTCACTCGAAGCCGTAGCTGAAATTGGATGCAACCCGTGAAATCAATTTAAGAGCATGTTTCTTAGTAGTAGTACTAAATATTTAGAGAAAGCAAACTCTTATTGCTGGAAGATTTAATAAGATTTCAACTACAGTCCCAATGAGACGCTGACACAAAAACTCAGGGATGAATAAACTTTTTTTTTCTTTCTAGAAACCTCTTGCCAGCTTCAAGTGAGACGCAAACTGTTACATCTGTGGACAAAGAGAAGCTCTTCTTTGTTTTTACAGCAACATGACACTCACCTTCTGTCTGGCTATAACCACGCGATCACCCAGTTGAATCCCCATGGAGGCGAGTTGTATCCTAGCCCTATCACAGAGCGCAGGAACAGACTGGCCTTGTAGTGTGAAGGGCAGCGGTGAGATGGGTCGAGGTAAAGCCTGTCTCAGTAAAGTCAGCAGCTCTTTGGCCACAGCGGCTGCATCTGCCATCTCCAAGGGCATATCGAGGGGGTCGGGCACAACATCTGCTGGACTCTGTCCTTTGTCATTCTGTCAGAAGAAAGAGATCAGGTGAGCAATGACTTCATGTGGAAATGTGATTCAAAACTGAACTCGACATGGATTTACACATTGATTTGGATGTTTGTAACTTCAGTGAACTAAATTATTTATATAAATATCCGATCGGAGAAAGACCTCAGCAACACGTACTTCATCAATATGCATAATACTGTGAATACTAAAACAATCCAAAATTACCAAGTATGATATTTTTACCTAAATCTCAATGGAAAACACAAAATAATTGTCAACTTAACATTTGATCAACATGTCTGGTTAATAAATCACCTAAAGCTTGCATTAGATGCTTAAAAAATAAAAAAAACTGTGGTTTGAGTTCATATTGATGTAATTATCAGATGATTTGCATCTATGTAATGAATATTGTATGGTGGCCCTGAGGTGCTATAAAACAGAAAACTAAAGAAAATGGGAAGATTTTAGTGAAAACTTTTTTTTTTTTTGGTCACCAATAGGGACTTGGATCTGAAGAACTAGAACTGAACCAGTGCATAACAACTAGAACTGAACCAGTGCATAGCAAACTTTTAATGTTAATGTATGAGCTGATAAGAATAACAGTGGGAGAAGGTCATCAGGCCTTTTTCTATGGGCTCGACTCAGCCTGACCAGAGACGTCAACCATGAGACATCTCCTTCCCACAATTCAAACCCACCATTTCTGAAAACCTCACAACTGCAACTTTTATTTACTTTGTTAAATACATATTTATACAATATATCCATTAAGATGCCAACACGAAAACCAACACCATGGCACTATGAGGGGGTGCAGATGTTTTCATGCTTGTTGGCTGACAAAAGAATTCAGATGAAGTTAGACCAAATGGACTCAATTTATGGGCTCAGACCAGCGAAGGGACAGTGGTCTCGACTCTGCCACGGCATTTTTGGAAACTGACAGATTGTGATTGTTGTGTGACTTTATTCCACTTATATGCCCATTGCTGTGTTGTGTGTAGCATGAACAGAAAATAACATTGCAGAAGTTTCAGGCAGCCATGCTACGACGACCCTGCCTACATCGACCTGCATTGCTGAGCTGCGAGAACCACTACAACTTCAAACTTAGGTTGCACCTAGGAAGAGAGTGCACACCCTCTGGAAGACATCCTGCATCCTTCCTGCTCCTAAAAAGAACTGGCCCAGCGAGCTGAATCCTCCGACCAGTGGCAGTCTGTGGTTGCCAGTTTCATTTTCGACACCGTGATATGCTGAGGGGGCAGCATATACAAGGACACATCCAGGCTGGAAAAAAAAAAACTGATCAGGCCAGCCGGCTCTGTGGTCGGCGTGAAACTGGACTCTGATGGTAGCAGAGAAGAGAACGCTGGACAAACTGCTGGACATATGGCAAATGCCCATCACCATCTGCACATCGTCATCAGCAACCAGAGGAGCCTGTTCAGTGACAGCCTGCTCCTTCCCATGTACAGTCCTTTGTCCCTCATGTCATCAGTCTGTACAACTCTTCAATGGGGGTGGGGATAGAGGATGGGAAGTAGTATCCACCACACCTTAAAATAGCCATTAACTGGTTTTCTAGTATTTACTGTTCAATCCGTATGTATGAATATTACGGTACTTTACTTTGCATTACCGATATTTGTACTTGCTAACTGTCTCTTTTCTTACTTTTATTTTTCCTACAACCTGTTCAGTGATGTTATTTAATTTCCCTAAAGGAATCTTCCCAAGGGAATCAATAGTTTCGTCTAATCGAGGCAGCACTTAAGTATTAAAAACCACCAACACTGCGTAGAACTGAGTAGAATCAAAGTGAATTGTGGTGTGACTAGACAATGGATAAAAAATAAAAAAAAACAGCTGGTATTCTCTTTTTAGCAAACTCAGAACAGTGACAGCTTCATTTTTAGTAACGTCAGTGCATCAAGTAACAAAAATACGTGCATCTCCCTCTTCAAGGAGTTAATTGTTTTCCTGTCTGGAAATGCTGAGATGAGCAGACATTATATATTTCTGTTCTTAGAACAAAATCCCTATCAGACTTTTAAAGAAGCTGATCAGCCGGATTACAAAACAATCCCGGATGACTCAAAGCTACCAAAGTCCAGGAACTAAGAATAGAGCTCAGAATTAGCACTTTTCGGATAAGAGAAGGCAAATGGGGGTTGTTGCGGAGGTGGGACATGCGAGAGAAGCTTATCTGAAGTTGTACTGGTTGTTTTCCACAACACCTTCAACACATGCACGTGGTTTATGATAAATACAAGTTTTAATATCAAAACACTGAGCTCATGTCTGCTCCTCTCCTCTCAATCTGCCTTACTGTGCACAAAAGGTGAAACAAGAATTAAATAAATCAGTTATTTTCTATATTTTTACAGTTTTTATAAAACAGTCTAAGCCTCATCTGTGTAGGTTTTAATGTGTTTTATAGTTAAAGCCCTAATTTAATCCAAACGAAGAACTCACGGTAAAACGTTCAACTCTGTCCCACACTCGCACGTTGACAGCTTTCTCTCCCACACAGAAGTGCTGCTGTGTGTGAAACTGTTAAATTATAATGTTCAGGAGTTGTCAACAACTACCCTGAAGAGTTATTTAAAGTCAAGAGGCTGTTTCACCAAGAAGCATTTCTGAATTTTATTCACTGCAATTTATACAAAAAGTGAACATCTGAAAAACTGAATTTCTCGAGAGAAAAAAAAGGTTTTGCTGCAAAACTAAAAAAGTTGGTCATTTGATATGCATATTATTTTTATACATGCATCGCTGTTCTGAAAGCTTCTCAAACAAGTTGTACAATAAGAGGGTGAAGGTCTAAATGCCCAGAACATTGGCTCCATTTCATAAATTAATCCAGTAGCTTCAAAAAGATCAACAAGTGCATCGATGAGCGAATTAAAAATGTTTTTGCAAACAAGTGCTCATAATGAAAAGGAGTGTTAGCCTTTTATGCCAACATTCAAGATGCTTTTTATTCGTTTCAATGATTAGAGAAGCTTCAATTAGTACTTTCATTAATTAGTGGTAGTTTGAGATGTGAAAATGCTTTTAGTTTCATGCTGTGAAGTGTGTGTGTGTGTGTGGGGGGGGGGGGGGGGAGAGAGACAAGCAAATGTAGATAAATGATCGTTTTCCTTTTCAAAGGTTAAAAAATAAATAAAACAAACAGTATTTCTCTAAGCATAAAAAACAAACCACCTTATGTTGGATGTGATGTTTATTTTCTGATTTCACAGTTGAATTATGTTTTCTGTAGAGATGCACTGATCCAATATTAGTATTGTATCGATATGAGTTCATCAGAATTCTTCTTCTACTTCCTCAGGTGGCTGAGGCGAGCTGGTCTGGGAAGCTCAGTCCTCACCTCATTCTACAGGTGTGCAGTGGAGAGCATCCTGTGCTCCAGCATCAACGTGTGGCATGGGAGGCTGCACAGCTGCAGAAAGAAAAGCTTTGCAGAGAGTGGTGAAAGCTGCACAGAAGTCTGTTGGAGTCAGACTCCCCACCATCACAGACATTTACACCTCCAGATGCAGGAAGAGGTCCACCTGCATCATGAAGGAGCCCACTCACCCAGCACACACCTTTTGCCCCCTGCATTTAAAGAAAACTAATGTTTTAAGTTAATTCAGCACTGCTTTTCTATATCGGATCTTTATCAAACGATACAACGGAAGTGAAAAAAAGTGGATCGTGCATCCCTAGTTTTCTGACTGATTCAGAACCAGTCACCTGCAGAAAGTGTTGCTGAATAAAAATCAATTTCTAACATCTCATTTCTTCTCAAAAGATCTGCTGCTTTGAAAACTCTCGTGTTGATTTCACCGTCTGCTAAAATCACAGACCTGCGTTATGAAAAAGTGACTGTAGCAAATATAAAATTTCAAACTGAAAGTAAAATAATAAATTGAACAGTGGGTGACTTTCAAGATTTTAAATAGTGATATGTAAAGAAAACAAAAAGGCAGGAAAAGATTAAACATATTATTCATCAAAAACCTTTTCATTTCTTTAATTCAAAGTCTGCTCTGACGATTCTCTGCCGAGTCCAAGTAGAAAGATTTGATTCAAGCTCTAATAAGAATGACCCTCAATTTGATTCAAGCTCTAATAAGAATGACCCTCAATTTGATTCAAGCTCTAATAAGAATGACCCTCAAAAGGAACGAAACTGCTCCGTTGTTGTGCCTTACAAACTCACAAGTTGTTGATGTTACAAGAAGAGCTGCTGTAAATACTATTTTCTGGACTCTGGATGTTCAATTTTTAATAAAAGTAAATGATTAAATTTTAAAATAAAAAAGGAACATTGTCTAAACTGAAAATACAGATAAATATGACGAAAAACTCTGAAAAGTTAGTTTCAGCCCCAGCAGATCTTTAAAAATATGAGACCACCACCGCTTACCCCCTTACTGCGTAGATTCATCTACACGTTTTCAACACGGTGAACAAATGTGATTTGAAGAGTTTTCTGAACCAACAGCAACGTTAGAAAACATAAAAGCTGGTAGACCAATGCACTTTTAATAAGGTCACACAAAATAATCCTCCCTCTGGTATGATCAACTTTTACTTGGCAAGAAAAGGAAACCTCCACAAGCTTAAAAACTTCGAAATACACACAAAAAAAATAAAGTAAAAACCATTTCATCCCCAAGCTTTGTGTTCTCAGCCTAAAAAAAAATAATCCTCCTGGATTAATCTATGACCAAGGAAATTATATGTTAGTGTGCATAGTGCTTTGGTGACCTCCAGTGGGTTATTAGTGTATACAAATAAACGGGTGCTTTTGTTCCCCCCCAAAGTCTGCACCTAGTTAATGCAGCTTTGGTGCAGCTGTGGGAGGAAATTATTCCCTAAAGTTTCAGTGAGAAACATTTAGAGCAGAAACATAATTTTACCTGAACTTAAGTAACTTGTATCCAAAAAAAGCTGCTCCACTTTTCCTCTCCATCTTGTTCCAGGACAAACCAAACATTATATTGTTGCTCCATATATCAGGTTGCTGTTTCTTTTCAAACTTTATGCATAATTTAGAATGGCATCATCATTACATACAGTAAATTTTAAACTTTTTAGCTCCGATGTGCGTTTAGGTTTTCTTTTTGATTGAAACATTTGTACAAATTAAAACTATTTTACTGTAAAAGCTATAAAAAAAAAAAAGCAGAGCTGTCTCCTAACTATATGACAAAGCCAAACGTTTTCACAAGTTTTATTGTAATCATGTGGTGCAACGAAATAATCAAGAACCAACTAAAATTAATTGGTTCTCATGTTGAAATCAAAATTATCCTGCAGATCGATGCCAAGATAATGACTTAGTGATGACTTGCCAAAGAAAAATTCAATTTCTCCAACTCAGAAGACAAGTCTGATGGAGTGTACAGAGAAAGTGGGGAAATATACTTACTCTGAAAGCTGGATTGGCTCCCAGCTCCAAGAGACATTTGATGGCTGACGTGCACAGGTTGGATGCAGCGATGTGCAGAGCTGTGCCAAAGTCAAAGTCACTGCAGGTAGCATCAACCTCTAAAAAAAGAAGAGGAATATGGTACAGTCCAACAATGCTGAGCGCTGACAAACCTCGATAGATTGTGTTTGTAAGCATAAAGTTTAAGCATTTTTGATCATTTCCATCTGATATCCAGTTCTTACACCAAGAACTTTTGTTCAAATATTGTTCCATCACCAGGGAACCAATTAAGGAGCAGATCAGTGGGGTGGCTCAGTGCCTTATCTGCATTTTAATGTTGGAAACACTGCTCTCTTTGTACCAGGACAGGACATTCTTCAAACAAAGTCTCTAGGTAATTAAAAACACCTAAAGACCCTGTATATATTTTAATTTATGAAGTGCAACTCTATTCAGTTTTGCACAGAGATGTTTATTTGCTGAGGCCTGCTTTTAAGACAAACGGCCACATGTTCCTTCCAGCTCCAGCAACTCTAAGCCGAGTAGTGACTTTTGGATATTGGACGTCATATTTTATGTTAAACGGATGATGATCCAAAAACGTTTCATCAAATGGCAAAAAAATCTGTCAGTTTTCAATTCTATCAATACTGTAAAATCATGTTGTATGAAACGAGTTCCCAGAATGTACACTAAACCACAGCAACAACAAAAAATGAATAAAACATTTACTGGTTAACAAAACGGCACCACCAATTGTTCGCTCCACAGTTTGAATTAACCAACAAACCACTGGTAATTCAGAAAGTTTACCACAACAAGAACATTAATTGCTGAGGCTTTAATCCTTTCTGGCTCCTTGGTAGTAAAATATGGCTGATCTTTGCACGTCTCTCTGCTCTTACCTCCAGGCTGGGCGGCCTGTAGAACCACCCGGATCAGCTGGGGCACATCGAAGTAGGCGGCGTAATGCAGGGCCCTCATGTTTGTCCAGCGCGAGCGAAGGCTGGGATCAGCACCCAGGGCGAGGAGCTGACGGGCAAAGCTAGCCGCCGTCTCTGCATCACCTGAAGAGAATCAAAGCTTGTCAGATTACGCTGAATGATGTTTGATGAACTGGACCTCTTTGTGAGTTGTATGCATGTCAGTGGATAAGCAACATAAACTAATGCACTGAAGCGTCAGATTAGATGTGTGTGGACGTTTATCAAGCGGCTGAGTCAATACTAACCAATGCCCGGAGCCCCGGCCTTGCAGCAGTAGTGCAGTAAGGTCATATCAGTCAGACCATCTCGATCATTCACGCCACAACCTCTCTTCAGGATCTGTGCAAAGAAAATATGATGTAAAGAGCCACAAAGGAGCAGGTGTCACCGAGTGGAAATATTAGAACGGGGCATAAAGTGACACTCGGGCACACTGCAGTGAACAATGAAGTGTGCCTGTCCTCTCATAACTCTACTCAGGTTTTAATTTAGACAATAAAATCACATCAAAGCAAGGCATTTATTTCTCAAAGGATTAAAAAATAGATACATGGAGGGGAAACAATTTCTCACGATAACCCCTGAGGAATGCTGCTTTGCGCAATTGACTGCATTGCAGGTACAATGTGTAACTCCAGATAGAAAAAGTCTGTGGTTTAAAAGGGAATTCATTAACGAGAAAAGATTTGCATTTTAACAGGAGGGCAATGGAACAGAACTGTCACCTCGATGCCAATGACATCTATGTTCTTCTGAACCTGAGGCACCCACTGCCTGAGGACAGCAAACAGCTCAGGGATGGTGGTGTTGGGATCCTGAAGAATCTCCTTGCACTGCGGCTCACTGGGGTCAAAGAAGGAGAACTCTGGAGGTGGCAAGAGGGACAAAAATCAATAGTTTTACAAGGAGTGTTGAGCATTTTCTATCAGTACATGAACGTGAGGAGAGCCTGCAGGGCACACTTTTCTGCAACAGACTGAAATGATTTAGAAAAATAGGCAACTTTAAAAAGAGCCCTGTTGTTCTGCAGCGGCAGACAAAAACCACATGTGACGGTAGACGGCACGCCACAGACCAAACGAAGAACTACAGAACCCGATTGAGACTAAAAAACTGGTCCATGCATTTATCACGTCTAGGCTGGACTATTGCAATTGTTTATTATCTGGGTGTCCAAATACTTCTTTAAAAAGTCTTGAGAGTTAATCCAAAATGCAGCTGTCAGAGTCTTAATAAGCATTTATAGGGGAGCTGTCTCTCCAGTTTTAGCTTCTCCACTGGCTCCCTGCCAAATTCAGAATAAAATTCAAAATCTTACTTCCAACCTACAAAGCCCTCAACAACCTAGCTCCATCTTGTATTAGAGATCTTATAGTTCCATATTTTCCCAACATAGCACTTTGTTCTCGACTGCAGGTTCCTAGAGTTTCCAAAAGTAAAATGGGAGGCGGAGCTTTCAGTTATCAGAGACCTGTCATTCTGTTAGTTTGTTTCTCCTTCCTGTCATCTCTCTTTTAAAGCTCCACGTGGAAAACCTAGTCAAGAAACTGAAAGTTAAACTGGGTTTCTTTTTCAGAAACAGAACCCGTCTAACTCTGAACGCCAGGGAACACCTTGTAACTTTGACTTTCCTTCCCTTTATTGATTACGGTGACATTATTTACATGAACATTCCTACAAGAACCCTGCAGATGTTGGATGCTGTCCATCATGGTGCATTAAGATTCATAACTGGCTGTGATTATCGTACCCACCACTGCACCCTGTATTCACTGGTTAACTGGACATCATTAACTTCACACAGACTTTCTCACTGGTACATTTTCATCTTTAAATCACTTCTTGGTCTGTTGCCTTCGTACATCTCCTCCTACATGTCTCTGCATGAGTGCAGCTACAGCGTGCGCTCTCAGGACATTATTACCTGCAGTGTTCCCTCAGTGCAGATTGAACTTGGCAAAAGGACCTTCTCCTACTCCGCTCCCGTTTCCTGGAATATCTTACAAAAACATTTGAAGCTCTCGACCTTGACCTCTCTAAGTGGCTTTAAGAATCTGTTGGGACTCCTGGCAAGAACCAATGCAAACATGTTCTTGTTTTTAGTTTTCTACATTCGCCTTATAATCTAGTTGTTTTTTGCTACTTTTTTCCCCCCATCTTATTTTAATTTGTAAAAAAAAAAAAAACTGTATGCCTCTTAAGATTGTCAATTGTTGTTCACTGCTGTAATCACTCTTTGTTGAAATCAGGTATCTTTTGTAAATGAGTCCTCGAGGCTCAATGGAATTAACCTATAAATAAAGGTTGAACGAAATGAACAAAACCCAGCCGGATGAAGCAGATTGCCACTTGTCCTGAGCCTGGTTCTGCTGGAAGCTTCTTCCTGTTCAAAGGGAGTTTTTCCCCTTTCCACTGTTACTGTTGTCAATGTGCTTGTTCAGGATAGGAGACTGATGAAGTGAAGATTCAACACTATCTGCTGGCTTCCTTAGATAACTTGTACCAATTGACTTTTATGATGTATGTGAATGTTTTTGTACAGTGCCCTGAGAAAACTTCTGTTGTGACGTCGCGCTATAAAAATAAACTATTGAACACATTCACTGAAGGACCAAAGCATCACTGTATAATTTAACCAGCTGCTGATTGCATTACATGAACAGGGACTTCAATGAGGGGCTCTTTCTTTCTGCTCATCAGCTCATTTGGTCATTAATTAAACATGCGTCTTGTTTGGTGATACACAATAGCAGAGTAGAGCAATTTTAGCACGAACTCTGTCGAATGTGCAGATGATTGGGAACCCTAACCAGAATCAAGCAGTATTTTAACAGACTGGCTAATCTTTGCAAAAAAGATTCATTATTAGTGGGTTTTTTTTTTTTTTTTTTACAATTTACTTGAAAGAAGCCAAACCTAATAAATTCTTAGCATGGTGGTGATAACCTTAAAAATGTTCCAATGGTTTTCTTTGGAACATTTTTCCTCAATAATTTAAGCCAGTCTTTGTGGTTGACCATTTCTTTTAGAGAAACGTGTCGTTTTGAGAGGCCACTTGAGTGACCCATGAAGCTTGCTCATGAAATGTTTCATTAGCTGGTCTATTTGTCCAGAAAGCCTTAAATCCATTCTGTCAACAGCTTGTTCTGTGTTTCAGTGGATCCTCACCACAGTCACCGGGCTGAGGAGCAGAGGCCACCTGGTGGATAACCGCTCGCTGCTGGGAAGACTGGCTCCTCTGGCAGCCCAGGACGACGTCCCCTTCAGCGGGCTCTGAAATGTCCTCCTTCGTCATCCCTCCCTCAGGGCCTGAAGCTTGAAATAATAGTATGCATAGTAAAGCCCGGTCCGACCTGGACCGGCCACAGTCGGCTCAGCAGCAGGCTTCCACGCTTCTGGTTTAGTTTGTTTTCAGCAGAGTGACGCTTCGACGCGGGCAGGATTGTCATAGCAAGACCGCGCGGATCTCAGCTCAACAATATTTGCACCTCGTCGTTTGTCTAGGGCTCTGAGATCTTTTGCGTTGCCATTTTTATTTTATTTTCTTAAAGAAAAGCAGGAGCTCTCTCGCTATATCACAACAGGGAAGCAAGTAGCGGAAAGAAATGGCGGTAAGGAGTAGTGGCCGGAAGTTAAAAAAGCCGTAGCCGGAAGTATGACTCTTGTCACGTGACGGTCCATCAAACCAATCAAGAGCCAGCAGTCTGCTGACGTCAAATCTGCAGCACCCAAAGATATGGCAGCACCCTGGCAGCACCAACCTGGACTGAATGGAACCCCAAGTGTCTGGGTTCCAAAACCTGAGCTGGAACTGGGCCAGAAAGTCTATTCTGAGAACAGGAATAGGTCTAATCCTGGAATACAAGCAGTTTGAGAACGCTGAAGCTTTTACCCTCCACTGAAGTCTCAAAGGTTCTGATTTAGACACATAGTGAACAGCTTTTAAAAGCTAAATTAAAAATACAACGGGGATAGGCACTGAAAAGAAGCAATTCTACACAAATTGAACGCTCACTCACGCTCAGACTGTGATAGAAACAGTTCATCTTCTGCTTCAACACTTACTATTTTCCTCTCCAACGCCCTGCATTTTGATGATCTCCATGAAGGCCTTCCAGCTTAAATCAAGAGCAACAAACTGGGTCGAGCAAATGAACAGAACATTTAACTTCCCTTAGCGAACCTCAGTCTCTAATAACACACACTCCTTCCATTTACGCTGTGTTAATCCCTTGACGTCCAGCTTCAGGAGCTATTTACAGCCGTCCCTCTTTAAAGTCACAAGGGTCTCACCTCTGATCCCCCCATGTGGATTTTCACTCTCACTGCCCAAACACATGCACTGCCAGAAGATCTACAATGCTGAAAATGTGCCCGCAGGGCAACAGTGCAAATAAACACTGTACAAAAGGGCAGCAAAGCAACCAGAGTGATAAGAACTGTCCTTCACAATAAAAGCTAGCCAGCGAGCATCAAGGCTCCTAACGTGTTTAAAGACAAGACACAACCTCTGGAAAGTGTAGCTCTGTTCTATGCTTTTATCCCATCAAAAAAAAAAAAAGTCCTCAAGTAAAACTGGGTTAAATGAAGATATTTTCACACCGTAGCAACAGAAATATGCTGTAAACATGCATAAAAGACCCAAAACCTAAGCAAGTGAGCATCCATCCATCCATCCATTTACTTTACCTGCTTATTCCATTTTGGGTCACGGGGGTCGCTGGTGCCCATGTCCAGCAATCACTGTGCGAGGGGCGGGGTACACCCTGGACGGGTCGCAAGTCCATCACAGGGCCACATAGAGACAAACGAGACAAACAACCATTCACTCTCTCACTCACACCTAGGGACAATTTAGAGTTATCAATCAGCCTAACATGCATGTTTTTGGTCTGTGGGAGGAAACCAGAGCACCCGGAGAAAACCCACGCATGCATGGAGAGAACATGCAAACTCCACCCAGAAGACCCCTGGACCGGGGTTTGAACCAAGGACCTACCATACCAATTTATTTATAAAGCACTTTAAACAGTGACAAAGCACACCAAAGTGCTGTACAGGGACAAACAGAACAAGCACACAGCAACAGATTACATAACAGGACACCAAAAAGTAGCAACCAACAAAAACAGTAATGGATAACAACAACAAGGACCTGCTCGCTGAGAGGCAGCAGCTCTACCAGTTGCACCACCGTGCTGCCCCAAAATGGTAACCCAACTTGGAAAATAAAAGAGATGTTGAATTTGCTCCCATTTCTTAAAATTGTTTTCAGATGATATTCAGCTCCTGTGACAAGCATTTTGCATCTTTGACGATTTACGTCGTCTTTCACTTGTCCAGCTTCCTAAAACACATTTTGGGCATTTAATAAATCATTAAAAAAATAATAATATATATATATATATATATATATATATATATATATATATATATATAAGAAACACTTTTTACTACTTTTCAGCTTTGTGTTTACACAGAATTGGGTCATAATTTGTGTTTAGACAGAATTGGGTCATAATTTGTGTTTTGAAACTTTTTTATACCTATATGATTCATAGTTGAAGACTCTATACAGAAAAGCTGAACAACTCAAAATGAAATTTGAATAAACTTGTAAACTATTGCTTGAAATCACAAAAATGAGGGCTCGGCCATTATCTTTGCATATTACTGTAAGTAATTACCTGGATGCTTCTGTTTTACTCTTCATGGCTGAGATTTTCTCTGATAGATGCATGAACTCATCCTTATTCTCATGAGTCTCACACCAGTCATAAAAAATAATAAAAAAAATCGGACTGACATCCACAGTTGGTGGTTTACTTTTAAAAACATCCCATTTTACCCGACTGGACTTTGTGAGAGTCATTTATTTCAGCATTATAGAAACTGTTTTTGTACTATAGCAGTGATATGTTATCTCAATAATCTGTACATTGTCCTGGAGAGTCCTAGTTTTGTTAATGCCAGGTGTGTCCACAATTCTGCATGTTTGACTTGTTTTCCTGCTCTAACACGTTTGATTCAATGGTTAAATGACCTCTTCCTGTGCTGCAGAATCCTGTTAATCACCCATAAATTCAAATCAGGGGTGTTAGAGCAGAGAAATGTCTAAAGCATGAAAGACAGTGGCCCTCAAGGACCAAGATTAGACATTCCTGCTTGACAGAATAAGAGCATAAAATGTTGCAGGTGTTTCCACTTAACCTAATCAGAAACCCTGTCATTTCATTAGCTTTTCATTTGCCTTCAAGCACCTGCAAAATGAGCAGATCCAATAATTGAGAACACCTGTGGTCTTCTCTCTAATCTGCAGCTGAACATCATCAGGTTTAGCTAGACGGCTTGTTGGACTTTTATATCATTGGCTAACAAGAGCTGAAGAGGCCAGGAAATACTCATGTACATAATTTAATTGTAGTCCTAAAAGTAAAAGGAACTGTGCTGTCCTCTAAGCAAACCACTAATACTAGTTAGTGAACCAGTGTTACACTAGCATACGTCTATAAGCTGCTGGCTCAGGGTTTAGCTGCAGATAAACCAGCTTTTAACTGAAACGTCATATAATATGACAAAATAAACAGTTATTCATTTTTTAAATAAGGTGTAATTTGCTATGTAATAATCCAAACAAACTTTCTTTTAAATAAAGGGGACAAAAATAAAATGTTTCTCAAACTTTAAATCTTGGCTCAAAAAACAGCTGGACACTTGTGACATCACTATGAATCCAATTAAATTCAACCTTTATTTATACAGGTTAGTCTCATTGAGCCTCGAGGACTCATTTACAAGAGAGACCTGTTTTTAACAAAGAATGATGACAGTACAGTCATAAAAAGACATGAATTTAAAAAAATTAATAAATGGAAAAATGTTATGAAAATAAATATAAAATAATGTGCCTCAGCACACAAAAATTCAAGTAATTATTTTGAGTTATAACAATTAAAAGTAAAAAAAAATGCTAGTTGTCTTTTTGTTTACATTTAAATGACAGAGCAGGAGCGGAAAGGACTTCCACGCTTTGGTTACATCCGGGTTCTTTGGTCGAATGGTTTCCATAGAAACGCAGCAAACCAAAACTGCTCAAGTCGCGATTTTGTCCCCTGTGTCCCCTGTCCCCGGGTTAATTTTAGCAAACAGTCTCTCTCGTTCCCTATTAACTAAAATGGACATAAAAGCCGTGAGGCAGGTGTCCTCGGTGGGTTGTCGGCTCCCGGACCGGTCCAGAGCGGCCACCAGGTCCGCAGGAAGCAGCATGGCGGCGGCCGACAGCGCGTGCAACAACCGTGGAGTTGCGGACAGCGCGAATGCAGTCCAGCAGGACATGCTGTGGACAGAAGTTGTGTGCAAGGAAAGGAGAGCAGTGCGGGAATGGTGAGCCAAGAATGAGATGCTGTATACATATTCAATTCAATTTAATTCATCTCAAAAATACTTTATTAATCCCAAAGATACATTAAATGTTGTTGGTTTCATTAGAGTTGTACATGCTGATGGCTGTAGGGAGGGATCCCTTTCAGCAGCCCCTTCTTAAGAAGGTCCCTTCTTATATGATAGTCTGATGAACAGGGTGCTCAATCTGTAATGTTCTTCATTTAATGAAGAATCCTTCTTTAATCATCTCCAAAGGTAGAGGAGTCCCCAGAACTGATCCTTCTTTATGAGCTTGTTGAGCTTTTTTCAGTCACTTGCTCTGCTGCTGCTACCCCAGCAGATGATGGCAGAAGAGATAACACAAGATATGCAACATCTTGCTGCAGACACTGAAGGGTTTCAGCTTCCTCAAGTCTGCTCTGTCCCTTCTTGTACAGCTTCACTGCTGCATCTCCAGTCCAGTCTGTTGAACCCCTACTTCTCTTTGCTCCTGCTCAGCATCCATGGTGCCTCCTTTTCAACTCATTTGGGATTTGGGGCATGTAGTTAAGGTACTATTTGAACTTTTGAGATGTTAATCAGCTGCTCCCAGTTGTAAAATAATAATAAAAAAAAAAACATAAAAAATTAAAAAAAAACTACAATAACACCTTATTGTAATGGTTACACATCATAACAAATGTACAAAAGTAGAGGTTTCAGTAGAAAATCCTTCCAGTTGCACGGCCTCTGATACCAGAGGAAATAATCATCCCAAAATAAAAAAGTGATTTACATCCACAAAAGGAGGAATTAAAGTTTTCAAAAGCAATATCCCATAATGAATGTAACAGAGCTACTCTAACATGCAGCCACCTTGAGCGGAGCAATTCTAGAACTTTTAAATTAAATATAA